GTTATGTTGGATTGGGTTGCGTTTGGGTTGAGGTAACCCCCCAACCCCCCCCCCCACCCCCCCCCCCCCCCCCCCACCCCCAAAATAAATAAATAAAAAAAAATAAAAAGGCATTTTGCTTGGTGAGAACTTGGAAGCAAAGGCAACGCAGAGAATCAGGCATACTGATAATAGCCTTTGTATTTAAGAAATGATATCTATATTCCTTCAAAGATTACAAGGACCTATGATTCAAATAAATCGAAGGCCCAGGACCAGAAAACTAAAACATCAATAATCAGTTTTCACCCAAACCAGAAATCGACTTCAATGCATTATTTCACTTTTTCAAAAGTTCTAGAATATCAATCAGTAGAAATATGCCCTGCCCGAGGGTTTAGAAAAAAAGAAAATGAAGTGCAAAAATAATAGAAAATGAAAAGAGAATTATTGCAAAAAAATGATATAAAACAAAGATTTTAGTTTTCAGGTAGATTTACAATATTGCCGAAATTAAGCTTAGAACCTAAAATGAAATGAATGAAAGTATATCACGAAGGGAATATGTTGATCCAATATTTTGGCAATTTAGAGCTTGCTGAGTACTGTTTATGGTCTTTTTTTAAAGTACCGATTTAGGACGTCATCCTATGATGGGTCTGATTTAGGTAGATTTTAGTAGTTTGTTTTTAAAACACTCAAATATCCAACAACTTTGAAAGTTTTTATTTTATTTTTTTAAAAATAAAACTACATATATGCCACTTAGTGAAATTTTTAATTTTTAATTTCTTATATGAAATTTTTTTACTCATAAACGATATTTTACTTATAAATATTTTTTTATATATAAGTTCATTTTTTACTTAAAATGAGAAATATGTACTTATAATTAAAATTTTAAGTTAAAAGTAGTTTTTACTCATAACTAAATTTTACAGATATAAGTTATTTTTGTCCTTTAAATAATCTTTTACACTTAACTTTTTTACTTATAACTAGCTTTATATATTTTATAAGCGAATTTTTATCTTACTAGTAGTATTTTAACTTTATAAGAATTTTTTACACAAAAATTAGTTTCTTTACTTATAAATTAGTTTTTAGTTATAAAGTAAATTTTTGCTTATAGATAATTTTTTTAGGAAATGTAAATATACAAGTTAGTTTTAAAATAATATATGTGGGTCAGAAATAATTATTTTATAGGAGATAAAATTGGAAGAGAATTTGAGAAACGGTCAAAATCCATCAATTTGGTGGGTTAAGAAAGATGGCCAAAATTACGCTAAACCAATTTTGAATGGTTCAAAAATGGTGCCCCAAAAAAACTAACAAACACCAATTTTTCCAACCTCTTATAAGCAGTTTCACTCAGAATCCGTCAAAATCTGTTGAAAAAAATTCCCAAGCAGCTCTTACAGTTTAACTTAATACGTCTTCCTCATCGCCTATTCGCATCGAGGTTCATTCCCTCTCTCCTTTCTTTCTACCTCTCCCTACTCCCATGTCCTCTATGCCCTCTCCAGTGTCCAGATCTGTCTCTATGTCGTCTCATGTCGCCTTGCCAGGTAGACTAATGGATGATTTGTTGAAATTCATTGGCAATTTGTTTGATCCGGGTTTCCCTAATTTATTTTGCTGGAAATTACGATGTTTATCATTAGGTTTGATACACCTCTTAATTCTTTCAAATTCTGTTCTTCCTTTTCCTTACTAAGCAACAAGGCCACGTATGTGGCTGCATGTTAGCAGCGTGTCCGTTGCTTGAATGAAGAAAAAAAAGAGTTACACGCCACGTCTCTAGACCTGTCGGCGTGCTTCATAAGAGGCGAGTCTTACATAAGCATTTAAGGCAAAAATTAACCAGTAAATAAAAATCAAATCACCAACTATAAATTCCAAATCTAATTTGAATCTTTAATCTTTTACTAATAAATGCTTCTAAAATGCAACAGTCACACTAAATTCGGTAGTCCCCTTGCTAGAACTATACTTCTATCTAATAAAATTTCATTTTCCTATACAGAAATAGTGTGTGTAGTTCATTGAACGGTAAAATAAAGAGAGTTTAACTTTTTACCTAAGCAAATATGTCCATTGCTGTAAATGTGAGGATGCAATGGTACTGGAAGCAGAAATATCACCTGCATTTTTCAATCATAATAAAAACATATAATGGACCAATTTTTTGATTAAAAACCAAACTGACTTTTTACCAATTTTTTCCGCAGTTAAAAGTGACTTTTTCGTAAAAATAAAATCATACAAAAATATAAAAAAAACCCAATAATTAGTAACTGTGGAAACACCTGAGGAGCTTCCATCGGATAATGCTCCGGAAAATCCACTTGAAGATGATAAGTTTCGTCGGCGTAAAGAGTTCCCGGAGCTCCATTAACTTCAATCACCCACCTTTAAATGAAATGCTCAAAAAACCCGCGTATTTTTATCTCAATTTCGTTGTACTAAAATTTTTACAGAAATTAAAGCTAGAGAGAGGGGTGGGGGGAGAAGCGAGAGGTACCTTTGGAGATTATCAGTGATTTTTTGTTTGAGATCATTTGGGGGATTGACTTGCCACTCCCTTTGTTCTTTCTGCAGCCGATTGATTGCTATCTTGCTTAACGACTGTAAAAAAACATCTAAATAAAAAACCAATCAAAGAAATTGTATATTACAGATATATGTGTATAGTATGTGGGCGTGGTGGTGACGAAGACCTTGCGGGAAGAGGCGGAGGAGGTGGTCATGGCTAGGCGTTGACGGTGATGTGGAAGAATGAAAAGACGAAAATATAAGTACTCATGTGAGCGAAACGGACAAGAGGGTGTCATTGATTACGAATCCTAAAATTTAAGAAATGGAATAGTTTAGTCAACTAAATCCAATTTTTCAATCACATATTTTATCAATTTTAATTAAAATATAATTTTTATCTAAATTAAACTGGAGCTAAAGATGATATCTATTTTATAAAATCAATATTTAAAAATAAATTTAAAAAGACTCCCAATCTTAACTTTTAAAATAAGGAATGGAAAACGTTTCATTTAACCCCTGTTTGATAGCCATTATTTAGAAAAAATAATGGTTTGGCTCCCTGTTAGACACAAGTTCTTTCAAAATGTGTTTGAATCTAATTTTGAGGAGAATAGAAATTTTAAAATAGTGATTGATGTGAGAATGTGTGGTGGAAAAGTGATGAAAAATTTTAGATTTGTGTGTAATATTATTTTATTTGAAGAATATGTGGTTGAAATGAAAAATGAGAATGAGAAATTAATGGGTGCCAAACAAATTTTGAGGAGAATAGAAATTTTAAAATAGTGATTGATGTGAGAATGTGTGGTGGAAAAGTGATGAAAAGTTTTTGATTTGTGTGTAATATTATTTTATTTGAAGAATGTGTGGTTGAAATGAAGAATGAGATGAGAATGGAAATGAGAATGAGAAATTAATGGGTGCCAAACGGGGGCTAAGTTTTTTCAAAACTCATTTTCAATCACATATTTTTCAATAAAATAATATTTTCTATCACATCAATAACATTTCGTTATATTTTAACCACATATTTCATATCACATCACTATTTAAATACATTCTTTCCTCAATAATATTCATTCATCAAATATCCCATTGAATTATGATTTTTAGAACAATGCATAGTTAAAAAGTAAGAAAATTTTTACGTGTCTAATATTTTATTGTGAGAATATGTGTTTTAAAATGAGAATGGAAAAAAAAATTCAAATAATGATTGTTACACAGAGGCTAAAAAGCTACACATTCAATATTCTACTTATCAAATTATTTAAGTTATATTCAAATTGATCAAACTATTGATATAAAAAATAATGTTAAATAAAGATAAGGATGAATTGATATATATTTTTTGAGAAAAGTAAAATAAAGGGTCAAAATAAAGATCATTATTGAAATATGTAAATCTTTTTAATATAAAATTAAAAAATACTATTTGATGCTACAAAAAATAGTACATGTTGATTTCCGAGTTTGAGGATTCGAAATGAGCAAGAACATAATCTTTCAGTACCTAAAACGAAGGCATCGATGTGTATTCTCATCGTCCCTCTGATATTTAAGTTAGACAGGGAATTTATGCGAAATGATATATGCTGAAATTGTATGTAAAAACGTACCTAAATAATAAATTAGAGTGCTGTATTTATAGAGGTAGGAAGTACATTCTTGGTAGGATTAAGTTGTTTAAATCTCTAAGAGTCCTACAATGCTTAAAAGTTGCAACTTGATTGGTATTGTACCATTGATGTGTTTGAATAAAGATAGAATTCCAGTGATAGAGTCCTGTTTGGGGGGGAATAGGTACAACATGATTCAACCTCCTTGGAACTAGATGTTTTATTTTATCGGAGAGTCCTAATGGATCAAAGGTTGTTAGGTGCAAGGTCAAGACATAACCTCAAGGAGATTGTTAGCTGATGAGAAATGTTATTACCCGAGGATATAGACTGACCAGGACTATCTGCTGGAGGATATTCCCTCATATGCTCAAGGAGATACCATACCTAAGGAGAATAGAACAAGATTCATGGAATCAACAGTATTACTCTTCTTGATAAAGTGCTTGGGTTAAGGGGTGGGCGCGGGTCGGTTCGGTTCGGTTTTTTTCGGTTCCAAAAATTTTCGGGTATTTAGTAAATGAAACCGTCGGTTCCAAATATAATTTTGGAACCTTTCGGGCTCGGTTCGGTTCAACTCTGTTCGGTTCCGTACTATAATTAAGGCCCTGTTTGGGAGGGATTTAAATTTTCTACAGTAAATCAATTCTCATTTTCAACCACACATTCTCCAATAAAATAATATTTTCAATCACATCAATAATTTTTTTTTCTTTTTCAACCACACATTTCCCATCATATCACTATTCAAAATCAATTCTTCCCCCAAAAATCTCTCCAAAACAAGCTCTAAATTTTTTAACATTTAAAGCTGATGTCTAGTAATAACTGCAATTCTTACACGTATCTTGACCTGTAATTAAGGTCGTGTTTGGGAGGGATTTAGATTTTTCTACAGTAAATTAATTCTCATTTTTAACCACACATTCTCCAATAAAATAATATTTTCAATCACATCAATAATTTTTTCTTCTTTTTCAACCACACATTTCCCATCATATCACTATTCAAAATCAATTCTTCCCCCAAAAATCTCTCCAAAACAAGCTCTAAATTTTTTAACATTTAAAATAATACTACATAAATACACCTGAAAGTAGATACTAATATTAATAACAAAAAACAGATATAAATACCAAATTCAATCTTAACTTTTACAAATTAACGTAATCTAATTTAATAACATATAAATAATAAGTTGTCAAATACAAATACGAAAAAGTAAATATTACTAATAAAATTTCGATAATTCATATCAATAATTCATTTGTTTCAAACATTAAAGTCTACATAAAAATGAAATATAAATTAGAAGTAATAAAGATAAAATATTTTAAAGTATTGATAATACTTACCAACTATTTAATGTAATAATCAGTTGCTTGACTTTCCATACTAACTACTAAGAGACTATACAAGAAAAAATTG